CCCCATAATCGCAATGCAGACTGACACGCGCGAACTGGTTCGAGCACTGCGCTGTCCGTGGTGGTGCCGCTGAACATGCGCCAGCAATTCAAGTCATCTGCTTCAATGAAAACCAAAAGTGCAATCCCCTCCCTCGCGTCAGAACAGTAAACGTTCCATACAGGTGGGCCAAGCACAGTATCCTGGAAGACCATGTCTTTCAGCTCGAAAGGTTCAGACAGCACGCCGTCAGCGACGACGTGAGTTTCTCTGGGCGCAAGCCAAGACAGTATGGCTTTCAGGAGCGTGTCGTCCACGCCTTTCGCTTTGAGTCTTTCCACCAAACGCCATTCCCGCTTCATTGCCGTCGCCATGCCCTCCTTTTCCTGCAATCCCTGCACTCATCATCCTCCACTCATCCTTTCCGACCCTCCTCGTCCTTGTCCTCGTCCTATTCTCCTAGTCTTCACCTCCTCGTTCACATCCCCCGCGCCATTCCCTCTTGCGTCTCGAGTCTCATCGTAGTCGCCGTCGTCGTCATCCTCCTCATTCTCGCTGCCGTGCCCCCCCCCCCCTCCCCCCCTGCGAGATCACCCCTCCCTCGTCCTCTTCTCATCCTTCGCTCCTCCACTCCTCCGCCCGTTCTCCACCTCCTTCTCTACCTCCCACCCATCTGCTCCTCCTCCCGCTGCTCCTCCCCCCTCTCACCCCTCCGCTCCTCTTCCGTACCGTGTTTGTCCTCCAGCGTTGGTAGACGCCCCGGGCGCTTGCCTCACGCCCACAGCGTCGGAGGCGACGGCCCTCGAGGAGGCCAGTGGGGTGTCCCCGCCCCCCCCCCCCAGCCCGCGAGGATAGAATGCGTCAAGATGTGCGAACGTTGAGATCCGACGCTGCGACAGCACGCAGCATCCCGAGGACTTCCGGCCGCTGCCCCGGGCCCAAGCTCTCTGCGGGACGTGTCGAGCCGGGTCGATCTGCGGTGGCCCCGGGGCCCGAAACCGGGCGAAAGCGCCCAGTGTGAAGATCGGAGCGCCTGCGCCGGAGAGTCTGTTTGGTGTCTGTTCATATGAGAGCCGTGGCTGTTCACGAGAGCTGCGTGGGTGGCGACATGTGGGCACCGGCTTCCCTTGCATCTTGGCTTCAGTTGGACCTCATAGGGACCTTCCTCCTGCTCCTCCTAGCCCCTGCTGTTCCTCCTCCCCCTCCTCGTTCTCCTCGTCTCCTTTGTGAAGGACGAGTCTGGTCCAAGTCTTTTCCAGTCCCAAGTGTATTTGAAATCCGGTCCAAATTCGACCCAAATCGGACAGCTCTGGGGGCCGCAGGCTCCCATGGAACGGACACCACTGGTATGCGAAGAGTCCCGGAATACAGATGCATTCTGTGCTGCACGGCGCGCGTTTGCCCACGACCTCGCGCGCGCGCCTGCTGAGGCCCGCGCGCACCTGCTCCAACCGAGCCGGGTGGTGCAGCAGGGTGCGCTCGAGCTGCTGGAGGCTGCGGGAGGAGGATATCGATGAGGACTGAGGAGGTTGGATCGCAAATCACGGGAGCTTACGCTGGCTCGTCTTGACTTAAGTGCGTATCGGCCAATAGCGCACAACAACGCTCAATTGTGCCAAACAGCCCCCAATAATCAGCGCCCCGTAGAGCCGAATAGCGCTCAAGTAGCGCCCAGCGACCAATAGCGCCCAGTAGCGCCCAAAAGTGCCATGTGAGGGAGATGCATTCTGTCCGCTTTGCGCGCGATTGGGCGCGCTGTTGGGCGCATTGGGGACGACCAGAAGTTTCCGTGAGCTGCGCTGTTTAAGGGAGGAGGAGGGGGAGGAGGAGAAGGAGGAGGAGGAGGAGAGGAGGAGGAGGAGGAGGAGGAAGAGGAGATAGAGGAGGAGGAGGAGGGAAAGGAGATAGAGGAGGGGGCAAGAGGAGAAGAAAGGGGCAGGACAAGCTAAGTGCACTCGCGCCGCATCTGACACCACCCCTCCCACCCATCCTTTTCCACTGTGATGTGTTTTTCGCCATCCGCCGACGCGCGTCATAGCGGACCTGGAATTCCAACACGGACCGCATCGTTTCATTCAGAATCAAATTGGGGAGCTGCATACAGTGGAAGAGTAGGTGGCGGATGCGCAGGGTGATGAGCAGGGGGAGCAGGAAGAGGACTAGGAAGGAGGAGGGCGAGGACGAACAGCAGCATCAGGAGCTCAAGCACGAGGAGCTGGAGGAGCAGGAGGGCCAGGGGAAGGCGGAGGAGGGGAAGGTAGGGGGCGATAACGATGGGGAAGGACTCGAATGCAGAAAAAGGCCCGCGCTGGGGCGAGAGCGTCATTCAGAACGACGGGAGCAAAGCGCCGATCCTACAGCGAGGCCCACACTGCAGCGGCAGCACCTTTTTGCATGACCGAGAACGACAGGGTGGACCAAGCGGCCGCTGCCCCGGGACGCGCGGCGCTTCACCCCCTTGTGCTCGCGCTGTCGGGTAAACCGAGGTATTTCCGGTTCCTGCCCTCGTGAACACAGCCATGACTGCTCCGCCCCTGGCTGCAGTCGCGCGCAGGGCCGAGATACTCGTACACGACGTCGCTCACGGCGACACCTATTTCACGATATTCGTTGAATATTTCGCGATCGCCGTGCTGCACGCGAAGGCCTTTGTGGAGCAGTTCGGGGAGCACTTCATGAAGCATGTCGCGATCTTCGTGTTGCACGCCACGATATTATTGGAGAGTTCCGTGGAGCACTTGATGGAACATGTCGCGGAGAACGGCGACGACGTCGGTTACGACGACCACGGCGACGCCAACAGCATCGACGACAGCACCGACGAGAGCAGCATCGTTGCGGACACAGACAGTGGTGCCGATATCGGCTCCGACGTCAGCAGCACCGACCCCAGCAACGATGGCAGCAGCATCAACGACGGCGTCGACTCGGGTGCCAGACGCATCGACGCCGGCACCCATGCCACCACCGATTCGGGCACCGTCGCGAGCAGCATCGGCGCCAGCCCCGTTTCCAGCACCGACGCCAACACTGACACCAACATGTAGATATTCGTGCGGACGATTCGGGGGCCTACCATTTCCCTCGATGTGGCGGCCAATCACCCGATCCACAAAAAAACGCGACACCCACGGCACCCACGACGACAACCACGACGCCAACGACGATCAACACGGCCGCGACATCCGAGACCACGACGACCAGAACAGCCACGCCGACCACCATCCACAACGAACATCCACGTCGACCACCACCCGCGACACATCAGCTGGCACCAACACCCACGCCTCTGTCCGTGCCGACGCCGACGGTAAACCTTCCAGCCGAGGGGGCACGCAGATCTTTGTGAAGACGCCCAGGGGGAAGACTATCATAATCGACGTCACTGTCATCGATACGAACGACGAGGTGAAGAAAAATATCCAGGACAGGGAAGAAATCCCTCCTGCCCAGGAGCGCCTGATCTACGCTGGGGAACTATCAGATGACAACCTCACGCTCTCGGACTACAGCATTCAGAAACACGCCACCCTACACTTGGTTCTACGCCTGCGAAGTGGGAGGCTGGGGTTTCTCTCTTGCCAGCACAGCGCGTGCCGACTCTTCGGCGCTTCGGCCCCAGGCGCGGGCCGATGCCCATCCTGCAATCAGGAACGTCAGCTCCGGAACCCAATTAATGGGGCCACCACCTGGACATGTTGCAGGAGGTGGACCACCGCGGGATGATGCGACCCCCGCGCCTCTTCCAGTTGGAGCATCGGCGCCTATACCAGCGACAGGCTCCTCGGGCTCGGCCTCGGACGCTTCGCCGATTCTGGCGGCGGCTCAGGCGGGCGCTCCAGGTGCTTCACCTGGCGACCCCATCCCGCAGGATATGAACGTTGGCGCCGAAGATGGCACGGGCCTCACTCAGGAAGTCGCGGGTCTTCAGGTGGCCCCCCCACCAGGACTGCAGCGCGTGGCCAGCGGAGCGGCCCCATCAGCGCACTCTCCCAGTACCTAGCGAGCCCCGCTTGCCGCTGCTGCTCACCAATGTTTGGCCACGCACCTCCAAGAACTAGAACCACACATACTCGACAACAGCAACATCATCCAAGCTGCCAAGGCCACCAACGCCAACCTGCCGGACCCCAACCTAGCGGATTTAGCTGCGACGCTGCACGACACAAGAGTCCCAGCGCTCCAGACCTTCACCGACATTCGGAAGTCCATCGCCATTTGGTGCATTGGGATTATCCGCACTCGGCGGGCCGGAGGTCAACGAGACTAGGTTGCACGGCGTCGCGCGCGGGCAGAGAAGTTAATCCAGCACTGGGCGACCCCTCAGACACAGGACGCATGCAAGAAATTAGTCGATACCATGAACATTGCGAAGAAAAGTGTCTCTCGGACTTGCGCCACGTTCAATCGAAACGGAAGCTCATCAAAGGGGCGGCGAAAAACACTGACCATCGGAAGAAATTCGCGCCCGACAGCGTGAACTGCATCACCGGGTTTACCCCCCGCGGCGGCAATGGGGCACCCCAGGTCGCCACCCAACTGAGCAGCGTGATCCGGCAAGACCTGGAACTCTTCGCCAACGCTGCTACTGTTGACGACAGCAGACGTTTGCGCCGATGCCTCATGGGTGTCCCGTGAAATCCACGCCCAGAGGAAAGGCCCTTCCTCGCTCGCACTTCTCGCCCCCGTCGATGCTGTCCCAGGCTGCGCCGCAGCGCGACACATCGCCGACCTATGGCAGCACCCGCCATTGAAGTGGCAGGAGCTCGTCACGGAAACTATCTTCGCACAGCCACCGATGATGATGATGATGATGATGATGATGATGATGATGATGATGATGATGATGATTCTATCGGGCAGGAGTGCTCCGCTACATGTACGCAAAGGCTTGGCGATCATCACAATGGGGGGTCACAAGGCCGTTGGGAGCCCCAGAGTGGCCTTGGCGGGGTATTGTTATCCACTACTACTCGCACTAGATCATCAGGATCGACGTACCGGATGCGCACCGTTGTCAGGTCTACAGCCAGATCGACGATCTCCGGCTGCCAGGGCGGGTCGCCACGGACCGACCCTGCCCCAGCCTCGGCAGCCTGGCTGCCGAACCCTGGTCCACCATCAAGGTGCACTTTGACGAACACGCGGGCAGCGTGCTAATGGAGGAGGTGATCGTCAGCTGGCTCAGGAAGACTCCCCGCGGATACCGTGCCATCGTCGGTCTGCTACCTACCATCGCCCTCCAGAGGGCCAAATGCTCGAGGTTGCACCCCCCCAGCGGCGTGCCATGCCCTTGGCCACCATTCAAAAAGCTGCACAGTCGCACCGCCGCGGCTCGCGGCGGTGGAAACCAGCCACTCCGCCAGGGAGTGGAGCGACCACGTGGCGCAGATCCGGAAGCACGACCCTACCTTGGCGGCCATCAAACTCCAGCTCCGCGATTCGGACCCTGCCAGGTCCAAGAAGTTCGCAGAGGCACAGGCCGCGAAGGAACAGGTCGCAGCCGCTAAGGCCAGACAGGCACACCAGGAAGTGGGTACCAACGCCAACAGGCCAGAGACCCTGCGGGCGACCTTGGACACGCAGGCGCCTTTCGAGGCTCAGTTGGGCCAGTGGCTGAACGACTTCATGAACTAGATCAGCCAGCTAAGCGCGGCCCCCCTCACACAGCAGGCAACGCCGGAAGGCGTGCAGTTCGGTAGGTGGCAGGCCATCAACAACTTCGAAGGGGGTGAACGGACAAGGTGTTGATACAATGCCAATCCAAGATGGAATTTCTGAAGATACACGGGGCCGCGCGCCAGAAGGGCGCCCGCATCCAGGGGCGCGGCGCGCGCGACAACGTGCACTCCGACTACGTGAACCTCGGGGACTACTCGGGCAGCGACCTTTACAATGCCGGATCTTGACTATCGCGGCAGCCAGTGGAATCCAACGCACGCACCCCGCATATTCCATTTATTATTCCTATTCCACGAATCCACATCCCACCTGACGCTCTCGCAGCAGATGCAACGCGGCGCACAGGACGCAACCGCCTACACTCTCAAACCCAAGCTTCTGCAGCCGGCCCCCACTCGCGCGCTGCGGCCATTGGCCGCGGAGGGCCACTAGACACTCGCGGCGACAGAAATGTCTGCCGCAAATCCACTCGCCACCGTTCGACGACCGACGACGCTCCGACCAACGAGCGCTGGCGGAGCGGCAACCCTGGCCGGAACCAGCGCGCGCTCGCTGCCATGCCCGGGCAGCAGGCCTTTCCCCCGCGCCTCCACGGCATCGGCTAAGCCTTCCAACCGCCAGCCTGCAGCATCCCCCCCCCCCCCATCGCCACCTCCAACCACGGCATGCGCCCCGCCAGCCTCCACAGTCGCAGCACTCCGACCTGGGGCCTCCAACATCCGACTCCCAGGCTCCAGCGCCACCCATCGATTCCGAACGCTCACCAGGTCGGCGCTGCGTCCTCCAGCCTCCAGCATCCGATCTTCCACCGCCATCTCCACCTATCCACGACCAGCCTCTACCAACCCAGCACTCCGAGCCCCAGCCTCCGGCGCCCGATTTTCGGTCTCCAACTCTACGCTTCGACTTCCAGCCACCGCGGGCTCGGCGAGCCGACCCCTGGCCCCCAGCATTCGACTTCCCACTCCCACCCCCAACAATTGACCCCCAGCCTTCGCTGGCACAGATTTTCAACAACCAGCCTGCAACATCCGACGTTCCACGTCTACCTCCACCGGTCGACCTGCAGCCTCCAGCTGCCCAGCTTTCCGACATCTTGCCTCCAGCCTCCGACTTCCCACGGCCACCTCCATCTATCGACCTGCGGCCCCCGCCCAGCTCTACGCGCCGACGAACGGGCTCCAATGCCCGCCCAATTCGCCGCGCCCACGCGCGCCAGGCTTACGTTGGCGACTACAGAGGTTGCTCATAGAACTGCAAAGCTCTCACTGCAGTCAGGGCCTCCCACCAGACAGCCAAGGGCAGACAGACGCCCAAGCCCATGGCCCCGCATGCCTTTGGCGTCTTCGTGGAGGCGCACAGCGCCAAAGGTAAGGAGGGGCGCGTGTGTTCTGCCGTCGAACTGCGTCGGTCATCCGTTTCACTTCTCGGCCCGCCGCGCAGGAGTGGGCACTGTGTTACGACGCAGCCTCCTGGAGAAGTTCGCCTCGTTCCAGGACGGTGATTTCCAGGGGCTAGAGCCGCGCTGGATCGCCAGACTGCGTTCACGCGGGCCGCTGATAACCTCGATACTCGGGCGATCTATCTCACCACGGGCGAGGGCTCCACGAACGACAGACAAGCGCGCGACCGATCCCACCAGATAATCAAGGATAACCTGACAGCGCCACGCCCGCGTTGCCCATCCTGCCCGGCGAGTGGAACGGTGCACCACGCGAGCAAGACCGTTGGCGCTGCAGCGCTCGGGACCTGGAGCGGACACGGGGGCGCGGCTGAAGCCGCGAAAGCGAAGGAGGACGTCTTCCACCCGAGCGGCATACACAAACTGCACCAGGAGGACTATGCATACTTCTCCAGCGCAGCCACTTCGCGCATCGACTGGGCGCACACGAACCACCATCCATCGGAGCAGCTCGACCACGCGCAATGCCCTACCCAGGGTTCCTGGCCTCTCCTCGCACTTGCCCCTTTTTTCCGAATCCGACAGGCATGAGACTCCGCCATCAACGAAGACACCGACTCTGCCCGCGAAGCATGTGGCAAGGGGGACCACGACGTCCGACACGGCAGCAGGGATACACGAGCACAGGCAAACATGTCAATGTCCACCATCAACCATCCCGACTGGGGACGCCGCGTTGCAGCGGAGTTTGCCTGAATTTCCCACGAGCCCCGCGACTGCGACAATCTTGTCCGCAGACTCGTACTTGTCAAGCGGGCCATCCACACGGTCTCGAGTAACATGGTCACGGAGGGTCTGTACGTTACGGCCACCACGACTGACGATAAGTTCAGCTGCACCCTCGGCTTCGCGCGTGCGGCGCAGGCGGTTGACATGGAGAAGATGCATCGCGAATATCTGAAGTGCCCGCACATCGGCACGTTCTTGAACCCGAAGAACCCGAACGCATGCTTCACCGACGGTTTCCGGGCACTGCTGGACCACGCCGCGTCTTCGGCGCGGCACGGCATCACAGAAGAACTCGCCGACATGCAGAAACAGCGGGACGAGGGCGACCACGACTACAAAGCCACCGTCCGGAAGACCACATCCTCAGCATATTGAAACGTATTACGCTGGGATTGTGCACCACAGCGGGCGCCCACGAGACTGCGACTGGCGCGCGTGCAACAGACCCGGCAGCTATCGGCAAAGAGCTCAGCACCCAGTGGGCGATTCTTTTTCAGAAGTAGCCCATCAACCAACACTTGCTCCAAGAATGGCCGCGGAGCCTACAAGCATTTTCACGGACATCAGCCCAGCTGGCGAGCGCTACCAGACGAGAGGCACGCCAACGCGAGGAACATCCAGGCACGGGCGGTCCTCATCGACGAGCACGACCACGCCGCGCCCCACTACCTACCCACGAGAGGCATTGGCGCATCCGCAGAAAAAGACGTTGAGATCGCCATACGCCACAGTGGTAACTCGTCACCTGGCCCAGATGGGGCGCCGTTTCAAGCTTGGCGCACTCTGGGCACGCTCGGCGTATCCAGTCTGCATGACGGTGCACAGTGTTTTGGCCACTCTCAGGGAAAGGCTGAGCACCTGGGGGCATCATTCGACGAGGTGTTGGACCAACCGCGCAACTACAACGAGAGCATCTGGGTGCGCCTCCCGGAGAAGAGCTCGAGCACAACGCCAGGCGGCGTCAAGGCATGCGCCCCGTCCAACACGAGACCGCTGAACATCGTCAGCGCTGACGACCGCATAGTCGCCGACGCCGCCCGCAACCGCTGGGAGGAACACCTCGCCACGTGGATCCTTCCCAGACAGCAGTGCGTCCGTCGTGGGCGCTCCATTCTGGCGAACCTCTTTGATGTGGACACGTCCAGTATTATCGCGTCGCTCCAGCAGGAGCACGGGGCATGCTTGCTCATGGGCTTCGCGTCGGCGTTTCCTTTGATATCGCTGGAATTTGTGTTCGCGGTGCTCACGTCGGTTGAAATCCCAGATTGAGCCGCGAACGCCACCCGCGCGCTGCACTCGGACTCGCACTGCGTTACGACACGGCAAATCGTAGGCGAACGGGTTTCGATTGGAAGCAGGCGACCAGCAAGGGTGCCTAGCCCCCCCGCTGCTTCACGCCACGGTCGACGAGGTTCTCATGGACCGCGTCGAGCAGGATTGTCCCGACGCCCTGGTTCGTGCCTATGCAGACGACGCGGCCCTTGCGCTCGCGGTTTTTTGGGAAAGACGCCCCACGACTGCAACGTACCTTTGACGAGTTCGGGCAAATCTCCGGCCTCCGTCTGAACCCGCAGAAATGCGTGACCATTCCTCTCGGGCAGGGCACTTTGGAACAGTTTCAACAACGCCGCGACCGCTGCCTTCTTGAGTGGGCCAGCGTGCCCGCGTCGGACTGCGGTCAGCATTTGGGATCCACGATCGGGCCAGGCAAAGGCGAGCAATCATGGCGAGGCCCCAGCGCCAAGTTAATCCAGCGATGTCACGACTGGTCTGAGCACGGCGTTGGAATGCACTTCCATGCGATGGCACGCAACGCGTTCGCCATATCCACGCCTGAGTACATCGGCCAGCTGGAATCGGCCCCGCAAGAGAAACTGCGGCTGGAGAAAGCCGGGCTCAGGAAGACGCACAAAGGACTTGGGAAGTGGGCTGCGTCCGATGATTTATGGCGCTTGCGAGAACATTTTGGCCAGTCGACCGCAGCGGTTCCCTGACCGCCAAAGCCGCTCCACTCCGAGTTCGGGCGCGGGATCCGGCATTCCCGGCGGCCCACTATCAGCGCAAGGCACGCGACCTTCAACGAGCTCTTGCACGCCCGAAATATCTACACAACCAGACGCGGTGGGAAGCTTGATGTTCCAGGGCATTTGCAGGTACATTTGGAGACAGACTACAATGGTTCACGCATCATGTCTGCCCTATCGAAGACATCTGCAGTCCACAGAGCGAGCCAAACGACGACCGCGACCGCGACGGCGAGGACAACGCGGACGACGGCAGCGGCGCCGACACCAGGACAACGAACAATTCCAGCACGCATGCCCCTCCCCGGCGCCCCCGAACCACCTTCCCAACGACGAGCTTATTAGAAACCGTTCGCCCATTGAGTCCCGCACCTGAGCCACTTCATTCGCTACAAATTCCAGCGCGGGGACCTCCAAATCGCCGCCAGCACCCACCGCTCCCAGGAACGAGCTGCTGGTGCAATAGGCCTGCCTGGCAAGCTCGTCGGGCTTTGGCAAATCTCCAGCTGCTTTCGAAGCTGGCCCCTCCGCGGGTCTGCGCCGCAGTATTCGGCACGCTGTGGAACAACAGATGGTGCTCGGGCAGGCGGTACCAGCAGAGGCATTCAGCACGAAACCGTTGTGCCCTGGGTTGCGGAGGAGCCGCGGATGACTCCGTCGACCATTATTGCAGATGCCCCGTCACGAAGCGAGCCATGGAGCGCAGGCTGAACGTGTCTCCTTCC